TGCAGTGCAGCCTTTGTAGTCACTAGTGCTGTAGTCGCTGCAGAGCACCCATTGCAGAGCACCCATTGCGGAGTACCTGTTGCAGTGCACCCGTTGCAGAGCACCCATTGCAGAGTGCCTAGCGTGTGCACCCATTGCAGAGCACCTATTGCAGTGCAGCCTTTCTAGTCACTCATTGTGCTGTAGTCGCTGCAGAGCACCCATTGCAGAGCACCCATTGCGGGGTGCCTGTTGCAATGCAGACATTGCGTAGCACCCATTGCAGAGTGCCCGCTGTGCTGCAGTTGCTGCAGAGCACCCATTGCAGAGCATCCATTGCAGAGCACCCATTGCAGAGTGCCTACTGTGTACACCCATTGCAGAGCACCCATTGCAGAGCATCCATTGCAGAGCACCCATTGCAGAGTGCCTACTGTGTACACCCGTTGCAGAGCACCCATTGCAGAGCACCCATTGCAGAGCACCCATTGCAGAGTGCCCACTGTGCTGCACTCGCTGCAGAGCACCCATTGCGTTCACCCATTGCAGTGCACCCCATTGCAGTGCACCCCATTGCAGAGCACCCATTGCAGTCACCCGTTGTGCTGCACTCCCTGCGGAGCACCCGTTGCAGCATGCGGGGCGACGCAGCATCTGTGCCTGCTCCTTCGGGATACAGGGAAGTGGCTCCGGGCACAGAGGCAGGATGAGGACGGGGATCATCCTGCCGCCGCTCCCTGGGGATGGAGGGACGCGGCTCCGGGCGCGGAGCGGGATGGCACGGGCTCCCCGGCGGGCGCCCCGTGGCAGCGACGTCCCGCGGCTCCGCCGCCGGCAGCTGGGAAGCGAGCGGGGCTGGGTGAGAGCCTGGGATTTATGTAACGCTGCTTCAAACGCTGCTCCTTACGTAACGTCCTGCAGCGGCCCCGGGCGAGTGCGGCGCCGCTGCCCCCGAGCTTGGCTGTGCCGCCCAGGACTGCTCCCGGGATGCGGCCGTGCTCCCGGCAGGGAGATAGTGCAGGGAGCTGGAGTGCTGTGCGGGCACCGGAGCGCTGTGCGGGTCCCGTGTTCTCAGCAGGCACCGGAGTGCTGTGCGGGCACCGGAGTGCTGTGCGGGCACCGGAGCGCTGTGCGGGTCCTGGTGTGCTTGGCAGGCACCGGAGTGCTCGGCGGGCACCGGAGCGTTCGGTGGCCACCGGAGCGCTGTGCGGGTCCCGTGTGCTCAGCAGGCACCGGAGTGCTGTGCGGGCACCGGAGTGCTGTGCGGGCACCGGAGCGCTGTGCGGGTCCTGGTGTGCTCAGCAGGCACCGGAGTGCTGTGTGGGCACCGGAGTGCTGTGTGGGCACCGGAGCGTTCAGTGGCCACCGGAGCGCTGTGCGGGTCCCGGTGTGCTCAGCAGGCACTGGAGTGCTGTGCAGGTCCCGGTGTGCTTGGCAGGCACCGGAGTGCTCGGCGGGCACCAGAGCGCTGTGCGGGTCCCAGTGTGCTCGGCGGGCACTGGAGCGCTGTGCAGGCACTGGAGCGCTGTGTGGGTCCCGGTGTGCTCGGCGGGCACTGGAGCGCTGTGCGGGCACTGGAGCACTGTGTGGGTCCCGGTGTGCTCGGCGGGCACTGGGGCGCTGTGCGGGCACTGGAGCGCTGTGCAGGCACTGGAGCGCTGTGCAGGCACTGGAGCACTGTGCCGGTCCCAGTGTGCTCGGCGGGCACTGGAGCGCTGTGCGGGCACTGGAGCACTGTGTGGGTCCCGGAGTGCTCGGCGGGCACCAGAGCGCTGTGCGGGTCCCGGAGCGCTGTGCGGATCCTGGTGTGCTCGGCGGGCACTGGAGCGCTGTGCGGGCACTGGAGCACTGTGCGGGTCCCGGTGTGCTCGGCGGGCACTGGAGCGCTGTGCAGGCACTGGAGCGCTGTGTGGGTCCCGGTGTGCCCGGCGTGCATGGGCTGCAGCGCCGGAGCATGTGCGGCGTCTCTGCGAGCCCGTCCTGCGTAGCCCTTCCCGAGCCCCCATTCCCACACAGTGCCTTTCCAAGACCCCATTCCTGCCCAGCCCCTTCCTGAGCTCCCATTCCCGCCCAGCCCCTTCCCAATCCCCATTCCCGCCCAGCCCCTTCCCAGTCCCCATTCCCACCCAGCCCCTTCCCAATCCCCATCCCGCACAGCCCCTTCCCAAGCCCCCATTCCCACACAGCCCCTTCCAATCCCCATTCCCGCACAGCCCCTTCCCGATCCCCATCCCGCACAGCCCCTTCTGAGCCCCATTCCCATCCAGTCCCTTCCTGAGCCCCCATTCCCACCCAGCCCCTTCCCGATCCCCATTCCCGCCCAGCCCGTTCCCGTTGGCGAGCGGAGCGTGCGCTGTCCCCGCGCCCTCCGGCAGGCCCCGCGCTGCCCTCCGTCCCCTCCGCTCCCTGCTCCCGGGTCTGGCTCCCGCTGCTGCTTTCCCAGGGCTGCGGTGTGGGGATGGGGACATGGGAATGCCCAATGTGAGGGGACCCCAGCCCGTCCCCGGGGCTCTGCAGTGCGGAGCAGTGGTGTCCCGGGGGTGTCCCGGCCTCCTGTCCCTGCAGCGGGGTCACGAGCTTGAGGAGGGAGCTGGGACTAGGACAGGGTCCCCTCCAGGTGGGATCCCGCTGGGACTGAGCTGCCCGTTCCCTGTGCCGTGCAGTGCCGTGCAGTGATGTGCAGTGCCATGCTGTGCAATGCCGTGCAATGCAGTGCCGTGCAGGGCTATGCTATGCAGTTTGGTGCAGTGCCATGCAATGCTGTGCAATGCCATGCAATGCCACGCAATGCAGTGCCGTGCAGTGCTATGCAATGCAGTTTGGTGCAGTGCCATGCAGCGCCGTGCAATGCCATGCCATGCAGTGCCACGCAGTGCTATGCTATGCAGTTTAGTGCAGTGCCATGCAGCGCCGTGCAATGCAGTGCCGCGCAGTGCTATGCTATGCATTTCGGTGCAGTGCCATGCAGCACCGTGCATTTCCGAAGCTGCAGATTCACGTAGTGCAGCACCATGCATTGCCATGCAGCTCATTTGCACGGTGCAACAAAGCCAAAGCCGCATGTTTGCACCCTCGAGTGCTGCTGCACGGCTGCAGGACGTGCTGAGCACTGCTGCCCACTGCAGCTCGCTGCCTCCTTGCAGTCACTTACGACCCCCCAGCTCCAGGGCTATTTTGGGCTCCCCCGGCCTCATGCAGCACCAGTTCCTCGGGGAGCAACAGGCACCCCCGGAGCACCCCTGTCCCCACGCAGGGCACCCTTTGCAGGACGCGCGGCTGCGCGGCCGCCTGCGCTGAGCGCCGCGCGCTTCTCGTTGCAGCAACATCGCCGAAGCCCTGGTCAGCAAGGGCCTGGCCACCGTCATCCGCTACCGGCAGGACGACGACCAGCGCTCCTCGCACTACGACGAGCTGCTGGCCGCCGAGGCCCGGTGAGTGTCCCCGCGCCTCCGGGAGCCTTCGGCATCTGCAAGCCTCCCTGCCGCCCAGAGGAGGAAGAGGAAGGCTGAGGAGCGGGTTTGCTTGGGATGAGCGTTGCCTGAGCTCTGCAAAAAGCCTTCAGCCCTGCCAAAAAGGGGCGACCCGGGGAAGCCGCTGGTGTCCCGGGCCAGCCGGGAGCTGAGGGCACTGCTCCCACGTGGCACTTGGAGCAGGAGCTGGACCTGGCCGGTGCCGCAGCCGCCCTGGCATCCAGCGCCCTGGCACCTCCCGGCTCCGGCGCATCCAGCCAGGATGAACCTCAGCCCTGCGGCACCTGCTCATGCTTCACCTGCTAAATGGCTTCCCTAGGCAGCGCGCGCTCGGGCTACTTAGCGCAGATGGATTTTAACCTGGAAGCAGCTCATTTCCATTCGAATGGGAAGGTTGCCGGGGTTTTTTGCATCGGAAGCGCTGCGCGTGATTAAGCCCTGAAAGAAACACTGATGATTCCAGATTCCCCTGGTGCATCGGTGCCTGCTGCACTGGCACACCGCTGCACTAGTGCATTGGTGCACTGGTGCGCTGGTGCATCGGTGCAGGGGTGCAATAGTGCGTTGCTCTTGCTGTTAATTCCCCCCGGTGTTCCCGGGAACAAACTGGTTGAATTTGGTGGTGAGGGCAAGTGTCAGGTACGAGCTGAGCCCAGATGAGCATCGGGAAAGCTACTAATTGGGCTTAGCAGGCTAACGAGCCGGCGGCTCCCTCGTGCTGACGGCTGGTGTCTCCTCTCCTTTGCAGGGCCATCAAGAACGGCAAGGGCTTGCACAGCAAGAAGGAGGTGCCAATTCACCGGGTGGCCGACATCTCCGGGGTAAGGAGCCCTGCAGCCCCGTGCAGGCGGGCACGGGGCGCCGTGGGCACCGGGGCGGCATGAGCCTCCTCCTGCTTTGCGGCGGCATCGCTCTGAGTGTTGGCAGGATTGAGAGGGCAAGGGAGAGCTACGCTGGTGCCGTGCAGCGGGAATGGTGCAGGAGCTGGGGGTGGTGTGTGGAGGGGCCCCCACATGCTCAGGAGGAGCGTGCTTCCTGCTAGAGCAGCTCGCTCGTTGCAACGGCGCAGCCCGTGCTGCAGCAAACCCCGGCGAGGCGCCCCGAGCTCGGCCGCCTCGCGGGCTCCTGAAAGATGCATGCGGTTAAATTGCCCGCAAAGAGCGAGACAAACTCTGGGGCTGGGTGAGGAGGAGGAGGCTGGAGCTGGAGCAGGCGGCAGGGGCGAGACGTGGAGCTGGAGCATCGTGCTCCCTGCACAGGGTGCCAGGCAGGGCCAGCACTGGGGTGCACGGTGTGTGCGTGCGTCACGCATGGTGCGCATGCATGCATGGTGTGCATACATGCATGGTGCGTGTTGCGTGTACGTGGCAGGTATGCTGCGTGCGTGGTGCAAATGCAGCATGCAAGGTGTGCATACACAATTTGCAAGCAGCGTGCAAGGTGTGTCCATCCAGCGCGTGTGCAGCATACAAAGTGCATGCAGTGTGCTCACAGCGTGCATGGTGAATGCCTGTGGCATGCAAGGTAGTCCTTGGGTGTCCTTGTGAGATCCCCGCAGTGCCAGCCCTGGCCAAGGCCAAAGCTGCTCCTTGCAGCACCGCTGGCTTAACCAGGGCCCCGAGCAGAGCGGTTGGAGCTGGTGTGAGGAGGGCCTGTGCAAACAAAATTAGGGTAATGCATCACCCCTCTTAGGAAGATTTGTTAATCTTTTAAAATGGTTAATAGCTCCCTGCAAATTGATCGTGCTCTTAGTTAGCCGAGTGTCAGCAGTTGTGCGGCGTGATGGATGCGGCGCGCGCCACGCTGACGGCGGGCACTGCGCCGCTGCCAAAAGCATTTAACGTGAATTAGCGTGCGGCACACGGCACGGTGGCACGGCCGTGCGCCTCGGGCAGGTGACCGGCAAGGGGGCAAGTCACAGCTGGACCCCTGCAAACGCCCGGCGCGCTCCGCAGCGGGATGCCCTTGGAAGCCGCCGGCTCTCCGGGGTGGCCCTGGCGGGTGCCCGGCCCCGGGCAGGCAGCGCTTCCCAGCCCGTCGCTGCAATCCCCCGGCGCGCGCGCTCGCTGCAAACTGCCAGCTCCACACTCCAATTTAGGTCAGCCCCAGCCTGCCGCTCCTCCTTCCCGGCGCGGCTCCCGCGTCGCGCTGACGCGGGCGTTTGCAGGCGCGTGCCTTCGGTGTTTATCCGTGTAATGGGGGCTATAAATATTGCACGAGGTTGCTGTGCCGCGCTGCGGCGCGCGGAAGAGGAGGCAGCTCCGGCCCGCAGCCGCGCTTGGAGCAGGAGCCCCGGCGCAGCCCCCTGTGCAGCCGCATCCCCCCATGCAGCCGCATCCCCCCATGCAGCCGCATCCCCCCGTGCAACCACAGGAGCTGCCCGATCCTTAGCCCCGGTGCAGGGAATTTGCACCTTTCAGTATCAGAAGCAGGTGCATGCCCATGCAGGGAGCACGAGCTTGCAACACTCCTGCTATCCTGCACATTCCCGGCTCCGGAGCAGGATGTGGTCCCGCGCTTGCTCCGGCCCTCGGGCTCTTGCCAGCGGGGGACGGATCCGCAGGCTGCAGCGTGCTCGCTTCCCTCCCGCGCGGCTCGCTCGTCTAAATTAAGGAGGCAGGAAAATAAAAAGCCACCTGGCTGCGGGTTATTTTGGGAGCTGCTTTGCTTTTCTTCGCCGGGTAAATAAATCGGGTGCTTGCAGCGTCGGTGCCCTGCTGCTTGCATCCCAGGCGGGTGCCGGGGGCTTGGCCGGGGCCGCTGGCTCCAAGGGCGTCTCGGAGTGAGCCGGAGCGGGGATCCAAGCACTGTCCCATGGAGGGGGCTGGGGGGGACGCACAGACACTGCTCGGCCCTGCCAGCCCTGCAGGGTCCAAAACTGCTCGGCTGTTTGTGAAGTTCCCGTTAGGAATGAGCTAGAGCGGATGCACGGGCCGTGTCGCAGGGGGAGGGTGGAAGTTGGATCCAGCTGCCTCGGGGTATCTGGGATCCGGGATGCCCGCGCCCTGGGGTAGGGATCCGGGATGTCCTGTGCCCTGGGGCAGCTGGGATCCGGGATGTCCCATGCCCCAGGGTAGGGATCCGGGATGTCCTGCACTCCGGGGCAGCTGGGATCCGGGATGTCCCATGCCCTGGGGCAGCTGGAATCCAGGATGTCCCATTTCCTATGGCAGGAATCCGGAATGTCCCACATCCCGGGGCAGGGATCCGGGTAGCCCCGTGCCCTGGGGCATCTGGGATCTAGGATGTCCCATTTCCTGGGGCATCTGGGATCTGGGATGTCCCATGCCCTGGGATATCTGGGATCTGGGATGTCCCGTGCCTCGGGGCAGCTGGGATTCGGGATGTCCCACATCCATGGGCAGGGATCTGGGATATCCCGTGCCCCGGGTCAGCTGGGATTCGGGATGTCCCACATCCAGGGGCAGGGATCTGGGATATCCTGTGCCCCGGGGCAGCTGCGATTCGGGATGTCCCACATCCAGGGGCAGGGATCTGGAATAGCTCGCACTCCAGTCCGGAATCTCATAGGATGGCTTTGCCACTGGCTGCGGATACAGGACAGGGCCTCGGTGCTCCCGCTGCTCCGTCCCTCTGTAGCTGTTCCCGGGCCGGCGCGCCGATGCCGGTGCCGGTGCCGTGGGCGCTGACGCCTCTCTCCCGCAGGACACGCAGAAGGCCAAGCAGTTCCTGCCGTTCCTGCAGCGCGCCGGCCGCTCCGAGGCCGTGGTGGAGTACGTGTTCAGCGGCTCCCGCCTCAAGCTCTTCATGCCAAAGGAAACCTGCCTCATCACCTTCCTGCTCGCAGGTAACGCGCTCGCCCGCGGCCGGAGCGCAGCGGCACACCGGAGCGCTCCGGGCAGCGGCCGCACAGCCTGCGCGGCTGCAGCTTCGTGCTGCGTGCTCGCTGCATGCAGAGCTCGCTGCATGCAGAGCTCGCTGCATGCAGAACTCGCTGCATGCTCCCGCTTTATCCCGCATCCCGTTTATCCCGTCTATGCACCGTGCATTTGCCATCCGGGCACATTTCCCGCACCACATTCCCTGTGCACATCCCAGGCGCGGCGCTTCCTGGGAATGCCGGGGAGCTGTGCGGGGGATTCCGGCCCGCTGCGCCCCACGTGCGGAGCGGCTCGGCTCCCGCGCCCGTTCCCATGGCAGTGGGAAGGGCTGACCCCGAGCGCTCCCAACGCTATTATGGGAAACTCAGCGCGCGTCGGAATCGATCGGATGGGGGAATCAAACAGCCGAGGCCTCCGGAGGCGCCGGCGCCTCCGCCCGGGCGAGTTATCCTGGCAGAGCCGGCGTTCCCGCTGGAAGTTTGGCCCCGTTCCCGCATCCTGGCCGGAGCCGCGGAGCAGCGCGGGGCCGTGGACTCGGCCCGGATGGGAAGCGTGTCCTAACCCCGTCCTTCCCGGCGCGCCCGTGCGTATAAATAGGCCCGGGGGCCTCATTTATAATTAACCGCCGCTAAAGTCAGCGGCGAAGGCGGGGACGGAGCCTCCCCCTCGGCTGCGCCGCTCGCATGGAAATCGCACGGAGCCGAGAAACTCCCACGTGCTCCGGAGGGGGAGGCAGTGACGGCACCGGGATGGCAGCGGCTGCCGGCGCCGCGGGAAGCCGCCGCGCCGGGAGCTGCCTGCGCTCCCCGGATTCGCTCCCGTTGCTGCAGCAACCGGTGGCTGCAGCAACGGGAGCGGGATTGGGCCGTGGGATTGCGCTCCGGGATTGGGCCGCGCTCGGAGAGGTGCCCAAGTTGCTGTCGCAGCAGGGAGGTGCCGTCCTGGCGCGGTGTCCCCCGTCCTGGCGCAGCGCTTCCCATGCAGGGATGTCTCTGCCGTCCCTGCATGGCAGCTCCCGCCCCAGCACAGGGTCTCCCATCCCTGTGCAGCATTTCCCAGCTTGGGATGCGTCTCCCATCCCCAGGCCCTTCTCCCGCCGTGGCACAGCCTCCCTCCTGCCCCGTGGCATCTCCTGCCCTGTCCTGCCACCTGGCTCTGCCATGTCCCCTTGGCACCAGGGAACTCTCCAGCTTCCCGACTGCCTCCCCATCCCAGGGATCCCTGGAGCAGGGAATACTTTGGAGTTCCCAGGATGAGGGGAGCCGTCCCTGCCATTATTGCCTCCCTTTCCTATGTTAAGTGACATCTTAATCATGTCACCCGGAGCCTTGGGGGCAGCTCTGGGCTTCCCAGGACAAGAGGGACATGGAGCTTCCAGAGGGACCAGCGCAGAGCGACAGGGCTGAGGAAGGGCCTGGAGCAGCTGTGGTGTGAGGAGAGGCCGAGCGAGCGGGGCCTGTTGAGCTGGAGAAGAGGAGGCCGAGAGGGGAGCTGGTCAGTGTGTGCAAGCAGCCGAGGGGAGGATGGAGGGAGGAAGGGCCGAGCTCTTGTGGGTGGTGGCCAGTGGCAGGCCAAGGGGCCCTGGGGCCAAGCTGCAGTGCAGGCAGCTCCACGTGCCCGTGAGGAAGAGCTTGTTTGGTGGGAGGGTGCCCGAGCCCTGGCCCAGGCTGCCCAGGGAGGCTGCGGAGGCTCCTGCTCTGCAGATCTGCCAGCGCGCCGGGATGCGCCCGGGTGCCCCGTGCTCTGGGTGTCCCTGCTGGAGCAGGGGCTGCACCGGGGGAGCCCTGTGGTCCCTTCCAGCCTCAGCCATCCTGGGATTTGTCCCTGAAGTGGCTTTACTTGCACCATGCAGAGCCATGCAGCGTGGTGCAATGCAGTGCAGCGTGGTACAATGCAGTGCAGCACCGTGCAATGCAGTGCAGCACCGTGCAATGCAGTGCAGCACCGTGCAATGCAGTGCGACGCGGCACAGCGCAGTGCCGGGTGCCGGGGGGCTCAGGGCTGTCCCCTCTCTTTGCTCGTGACCCTGCAAAATGCAACTTTTCCCCTGACTAAGCCAAACAGGTTATTGCAGCATCTGCGCCTCTCACGAGCCCTTATAAATTATTCAGAGCAGCAGCTAATAAAAGGCCGGGTGCTCCCGGGGGCTTCGTGGCCGCGCTGCCCGGCGGGGACCCCGCGGGGGCGACCGGCCCGTGCGAGCCCCCGCGCGCTGCATTGCTCCTGCATCCCCCCGCTGCGCGCAGGGCGGCCGCAGCCGCTGCCCCTGTGCCTGCGGCTGCCCCGCGCGGGTAATTGGCTCATCGATTAATTGCCAGAGTAATTGCACGGTGTGAAGTAACGTGCGCGGCCGAGGGGACGCGGCGGCGGGGCAGGGGAGCTGGTATCGACGCCTGGCCGCATGCCCGCGCGCTCCGGTGCAGCCAGGCCCCTTCCGCCCTTCTCCCCAGCTTCCAAGGTTTCTCCGTGTGTTTTTCCGCGGGAAAACACGGAAGCGGAGCTGGGATCCCCGGGAAGGAGGACGGGTCCTGGTGCAGGCTGCCAGCGCATTGCGGCTCTTCCCATAAATCAGCCCGGAGCCGCTCTCGGTGCCCGAGGACTTTCCTCGGTCCTGGCAGGGATCGCCGGGGCACCCGGCCGCTGCTCGGCCCCGTTTCCACCCGGCTCTGCAGCTCCACGCGCTTGCATCCAGAAATATGATAAATACCCGCATTTTATCAATCCCTCGCTTTTTTTTTTCCCTGAGTCAGATGCAAATGAGCATCATAAAGAGAAGACAGGTCCCTTGCAAATGTGACTTCAGGGATGCTCTCGGGGGAGATTCATGCTGCCTTTCCAGCTAAAATATATACGTTCGAGTGCTATAAATATGTGCAAATAGAGGCACTAATTTAATCCCTCGTTGCCTTTCCCCAGTGGAGCCGCTGTCTGCTGCGGCGCGGGCACGGAGGTGGCGCTGGCGGGATGCAGCGCGCAGCGTCCCGTCCCGCTGCCCGGGGTGCATGCAGGGGACACGGGGCCCTGTGGCTCGCGGTGACACGGAGCTCTGCGTGCACGAGCTGGGCTGCAGGGTGGGCATCGTGGGCCCAGCGTTGGGACGTGGCGACCCCAAAAGCTGCAGGCGCTCAGTGCTGGGATATGGTGACCCCAAAAGCCACAGACACCCAGGGTTGGGACATGGTGACCCCAAAAGCTGTGGGAAACCAGTGCTGGGATACGGTGACCCCAAAAGCTGCAGGTGC